TAGACGGGCATGAATTGCTAGTTGAAATGACTTTAGTAAGTAACACTGGTAATTAAACCAACTTTTGTTAATCATTCTGCAGCCTGCTGACCGTTTCTTTCTAAAATCGTCTGGTTCGTATCATTAATATCCAACACTTATTGCCTGGGCCTTTTTATTTTGCATAAACCTGTTGTACTGATTGCATTTGAACATTTTGTCTTTGTATTTTCCTAAAAGCACTCCTCACATTGTATGTGTGGCAACAACATGTCTGTACCCCTGCTCTCTGAAGCCTTGACAGTGCCTGGGACGGAGAAGGAAACGGCTGTGGTGAGAGACCAGTCGAATCATTAACTAAATTCTAATCTTTTCCAAGTTATTCATTAGCATTACACAGGCCAGCCTTCAAATAAACCAAACCTATGACCTTCTTAGATCTTCTAAGTTTTGGTTACCTAGACTTTAAAAGAGACAGACCTCTCAGGTTTCATTAAAAATATCTTAATTTGTCTCTCAAAGATGAACTAAAGGCTTAACTAAAGTCATGAGGGTGACTAAATGATGACAGAAAGTTAATTCTTTAAATAGTCATCATACAACCTATACTGTTCCTCAGATTCACATTTACAGTCCAAATCTTCAAATAGGCTGCCTGCTGCCTTTATTGGAAGAAAAGGGTGAATAGATTAATAGAAAGCTGAAGTTTGCTATTGAGATAGTATCTTCATGTAAAATAACCACAATGTCAGCATCAGACAGGAAATCTGGCCTCTTTTGGGCTTTGCAGAGATAAGTTTCACATCTGTATTATTCTGTAAACTTTGCAGGTGATCTTCCTTCATGGCTTGGGAGACACAGGGTACGTTCTGTTTATTACCTGCCTGTTGCAGGATCTTTTAATACCCCCTGGCCTGGTGTAGAAATAACCCTGTGGTGTTACTTATTATAGACACGGCTGGGCTGATGCCATGACGTCTATTCGACTGCCATACATCAAATACATCTGCCCACACGCGTAAGTGGAAACCTGTGAAATATTTTTTTGATGTGTTGATTGTTATGCAATACAAAAATGTTAGTATCACTTGATTTATTTTGTCATTTATTGACCATAAGCCTATCATACTTTGACTCTAGACCCCGAATCCCTGTAACTCTCAACATGAAGATGACTATGCCCTCATGGTAAGTTTCCTCTGCTGTAGATAACATTAAAATCTAGTACATTTACATAAATGCGCAGTGGTAATTTAAACCTGAGAATAAATAATGCCTAGGTTTTTGATAAATGTAAAACAAAGAAAATTTATGAAGTAAAATGAAGAAGCATTTCAGATTCTGTACTCTTATAGGTAATTAATCAAATCAAGTGGCTCTTTGTATACATGGTCAGATGTTACATACTTGTGGTCAAAGCAAAGAAGGACAAACAAAATACTAAGACATTCTGAAATTCATTTTAGTTTTAATTTGTCATGTTACTCAAATTGTTATACTTATTAATTTATAACAAATATTTAATATAATATACACTACTGTTCGGTCATAAAGATTTTTGAATGAAATTAAAACTTTTATTCAGTAAAGATGCATTATTGATTAAAAGTGACAGTAACTAAATATTTTTTTTAAATAAATGTTGTTCTTTTGATATTATATTATATGGGAAAATTGTATTAATAATATGTTAAATAAAAGCATTTTCACTATTGGACTCTTGGATTTCTCCCTTAATTCTTGTATAATGTTTTTCTTTTCAGGTTTGATCTGACAGGCTTAAGCCCAGAATCACCAGAGGATGAAGCAGGGATTAAGAGAGCAGCAGAGAACAGTGAGCAAAATTTGTTTTTGTACACAAGTGCACATTGGGACAGTTTCCTGAATACAGCTTTCCCATCACTAACAAGCATCCAAAAATTTGCTTGGTCTGTGTCATCAAATGTCACGTCAAGTTCATGAGGCACTTCATGCCAGAGAATATTGTTATATGTTGAAATTTGATTATGTGGCACTAAGTGTAGACCACTCTTTTTCTTCAATAGTAAAGGCCATCATCGATCATGAGGTAAAGAATGGTATACCATCCAATCGTATCATTCTTGGTGGCTTCTCTCAGGTAAGTGATCCATCCTGAAAGTTAGTACTATCACTCAAATGGCTGACACTGCAGGTGCTTTTCAGTTCCTCTTTTGCTGTCTGTACTCTTCAGGGTGGAGCTCTTTCTCTCTACACCGCTCTGACCTCTCAGCAGCAACTAGCGGGTGTTGTCGGACTTAGTTGTTGGCTTCCACTTCACAAGACTTTCCCACAGGTACAAAATGTCAGCAGTGAGTTTGTGTGAGGATAAATATGTATATATGTAAATAGGTATGTTTGTCAATATGGATCTACTTTTTTATCCATTAGGCTGCAAGTGGGAGTGGAAACAAGGACACTCCCATTCTGCAGTGTCATGGCGAGATGGATCCCATGATTCCGGCGCAGTACGGGGCCATGACGGCAGAGAAGCTCAAGAACATCGTTTCCCCACAGAATGTCACCTTCCGCACCTACCCGGGTCTCATGCATAGCTCCTGTCCTCAGGTGAGACTCATCTGTTGCGCTCACAGAAACCTAAATTTGACATGTTTTACCATGTTCAAATTCAATATGCACGCTTTCACAGACCCCCCCAAAATAACAACAACAAAAAAAGCCTAATTCTTTTAGACCTACCTATATGTCTTCTTTTGATTAGTAATTTTTATTACTACTGTATTACTACACTACTTTTTGACGTTTTTGAAAACAGTTTATTATGTTCATAAAGGCTGCATTTATTTGATCAAAAAACAGTAATATTGTGAAATATTCTTACAATTTAAAATAACTTCTGTTTATATTTATTTTAAAATGTAATTTATTCCTGTGATGGCAAAGCTGAATGTTTAGCAGCTGTTACTCCAGTCTTCAGTGTCACATCATTCTAATACGCTGATTAGGTGCTCAAGAAACATTTTTTTCCTAATTGTTATCCATGTTGAAAACAGTTGTGCTGCATAATTTTTTGTGGAAACCATGATACATGTTTTTTGATGACTAGATTGTTCAAAAGACATTATTAATTTGAAACAGAAATCCTTTTTAATGTTATGTATGTCTTAATTGTTGTGGTCTTGTGGTCATGTATTGTCTTTTGACCAATTGAATGCATCCTTGATGAATAAAAGTATTAGTTTCTTTAAAAAAATTACCTATCCCAAACTGTTGAGTGGTACAGCAGGGTACAACAGCTGTCATTGGGGCAGTACCTTTTCAAAAAGTACTTGTATGTTCCATACTTTAGTGGTATAAAGGTGATTTAATTGAAAGGGTACCGCCCTTGTGACTTTTTTCCCCGACAGTGTAATGTAAATATTGCAAAGAACTGCCTAGATTTAGTTAGAAGCAAGCTCCTGTACTTTATAGGACACTTCATGTAAACTAATAACAGGATGAGGTCTGAACTGAAATCATGCAAAATATTATTTTAGCTTCAGTACAGTGGTTACAGTAAAACTGTATTATTTGTTCATGCTAGTTCTAACACCCATACCACTCTCTGATTGGCTTTACAGGAGATGTCTGCTGTGAAGGAATTCATTGAAAAGCAGTTGCCCCGAGTCTGACCTCATTCTAGCTCACTGTGACCCTTAGACACTGACCTCTCACCTCCGCATTTTATTGATAATGCTGCTTTAATAATTTTCCTGTGATGTAGATGGATCAATTTGAGAACTTCAATTGAACAAGACATTCCCAGCATCAAGGTCTTGCACATGCTGTCTCTCTTTTTGTTTCCCTAACAGGAGGCAAGCAAATAGACCAAAAGGTGTAACAGTTTTAGTGCAGAAAATGTGTAGGCCTATGATTTGAGTCAACTTAAATATCTTCCAGTAATAAACAACTTCTCATTTTATATAAAGGTCCAAAGGGGTCAAAATGTGCACAAACCCTTAAGGAAGTAATCTAGCTGGAGCAGAACTGCTGTCCACAACGGATGACCCGTTTTGACTGCTGCTTGAAATAGTACTGAAATCAAAGAGTGATCATATGCCCTAATTAAAGAATGTAGGCCTGTAAAACTGCCTGTAAATTAAAGGGAAAGACACTCATCAAAGTGAAAGGGAAAGACTTTCATCAAAATCATTTGACAAATGCATAACATCGATTCAATGCCATCTCCCTAAATATCAAAATAACCAGATTGATTCAGCTCATATTTCTTCAGAATCTACTTATCGCGCAATAAACTGAAATTGAAATGACGGAGTCGATATTATTACTTTAGGTGGCGCGAATGCGTTACTTTTTTTTTTCGGACAGATCAGCTGAGATCACATTAGACCAAAATGTTCTTTTGCTTGAATAATCTAAAGTTATTCATGTATTTTACACAGAGTTGTGAGATGTAAATAAAAACGCAGACTGGGTTTCACGTGAACAAAATATACATAGGCCTACTACCCCATAACATTTAAACGGTTTATTATTGCTTTACTAATAATATTACGCATTATTAATATAGACTAAAATAAAGTTAAAAATAAAGAAAATAGGCTACTAAAGAAAAGAGATTTAATAAATGAAATATATTAAATACAGAAAGGAATGAAAGACAAATAATACAGAATAAATTCAGGACTAAAAATTATTTATTTTTTAAAAGTTATTTATTTTTATTTATTACTTTTAAGTTATTTATGTATGTATTTCAGATTTGTATTTTTGCAGATGTGTACTCCCATAATTATTTATTTTAAAAAAATGTAATAAAATAAAATTATTTATAACGCTACTGATATGACTCATGTAAGTGTATATGATGACATTTTCAAATGTACAAGATACTGGGTGGACCTTGATATCATAGACATTATGTCTATGCTTGATAATATTATACTGTGCCTCATACTTCTCGGTAGGTGGCAGTGAGTGGCTCTTAGACTCGGTCTGCCATCTACCGTTAACACCGCGAAGGAGACGCAGATTATTGTCCTATGAAATGAGAGCATGACCAGCAAACACAGGCACGAGCACCACCCCTATGATTATACAGTTCTTTATCATTTCTTTTTACATAATCTCTGACATGATCGAAGGTCTGCCGTCCGATACCAATGCTGATCTAAGCTTTTGACAAGCCGCTTGTTCTGGTCATTTGTTGTGCCAACGCTTAATGGATACGTCCAGGTCAGTGATAAGGTACGTGTGTGAATGTTTGTGTGTTGATCGCTCATGTCAACACGCCTTGGTGTCGAAATCTCCGCTTGACCAGCTTAGGAGTGTGGAAATTAAAGCTCTGCTTTATCAAACGTGCGTTTGTTGGTGGATGGCTTTAATGCAAGGGGTCTGTCAGTCATAGACCGGTATTGATGAACTGAACTGATGATGCTGATTAGCTGTCGACACATCCTTAAAAAACTACAGGCAGAGGTTCAAAGCGAATGTTAAACGATCTGCCCAGTTTTATTCTTAGAGAATTGTTGCAAATGCTTCATGAGAAATTTAGCTACCAGAGAGAAAACACTGAAAACAAATTAGCAAGTCACAGAACTAGTATGCAGCGTTTAGCTTCATGCATTGTGATGGATTACATGAAACTCAATCTTTTGTGTCTGTTAGAATATTATGAAGTAACTGTTTTCTTTTTGAAACCGTTAAGTAATCTGTAAACAACGTGTGTAATGTGTTTTATGTGTTTAGCTTGTCACCATGTTGACTTTTTGTGTATTGTTAAAGGGGTAGTTCACTCAAAGAGAAGATTGTCATCGTTTACTCACGCTCATGCTGTTGCAAACCCGCATGACTTTCTTTCTTTTGAAGAACACAAAAGGAGATGTTGTGCAGCATGTTAGCCATGTCACAATTCGCTTTTGTTAAATATGCAGTGGGTCACACTTAAAGGGGTCATATGATGCGATTTCAAGTTTTCCTTTCTCTTTGGAGTGTTACAAGCTGTTCGTGAATAGATAAGATCCCTAAAGTTGCAAAGACTAAAGTCTCAAACCCAAAGAGATATTCTTTATAAAAGTTAAGACTCTGCCACGCCCCCCTAAAACGCCTCGTTTAAACACGCCCCCACATGTCTAAATCACTGTGATTTGCATAACGCCGCCCAAATGTTCACGCAAAGAAAGAAGGCGTAACTTTGATTCTCGCTGTAGTTTTGTTGTTGCCGCCGCCGCCATGTCGTGGAGACGCTGTGTGTTTCGTTGTGAAGGCGAAACTACTTTGTTTGGCCTTCCAAAAGGGGACACGACTAGATGTGGTTAAGTGGTTAAGTTGCATTTAAGTTGTATTTACAGCACTGTTCCAGAACAGTTCAACCCAAATATTCAGATATGTGCAGCACATTTTACGGAGTATGGTAAGGGGCGTAACATTTCCGTCACACACTTGAGGTATTCGGCCAATCACAACACACTGGATAACTGGCCAATCAGAGCACACCTCGCTTTTCAGACCGATGAGCTTTGTAAAAATTGAGCGTTTCAGAAAGGCGGGGCATAGAGGAGAAACAATAATGTACAGTATGTGGAAAATATAAATACATAAACACATTTCATTACACCAAATACACAAAATAATGTTCTTTTTAGCAACGTCATATGACCCCTTTAACTACTATCTACTAACATTATATACATACTACTGGACTATGGATTTGATATGTATCTACATGTTGTTCTGGAAAATCCCCACAAGTCTGAGGTATGGATTGCTTTTAGGAGTTAGGATAGGGTTAAGATTAAGGGTTACAGTTTTGGGATTACAGTTAGGGGTAACGTTAAGTGTAACTTCAAATGTTAATTTAATGAGAGTCCTTTAAATGTAATAACCATGAACCAACATGTATGTATATTATAAGTATATACACAGTAGTTAAAGCCACCTGATATAAAGCGTAACCGTGCAATGAAGGTGAATATTATCTGAGACTGTCAGTCCTTTACATTTCTTATTTTGTCTTCCAAAAATAATAGTAAAGGTTTGGTACTGTAACTTTAAATGTCAGGTTACTGAATGCTGTTCTTGTCTGCCATGGCAATTAATCAGCCTGTAGTTTCAGACATTGTTAAAAGTGAAAACGGCAGTTGAGTATCATCTTTTAACACAAAGCCTGCATTGTTTGAAAGTAGCCCACTGCCTGTAAAATAAATGCAAATGGAGTTTTTCCATTAATAGACATACAGTATGTTTAATGATTGAGCTCTAGTGTGGGGGAAGCTTGTGGAACAGAAACGTTTCTTCGTGTGCCTGCCAAGTGCTGCTCTTAATTCGTCTGTTCTGCTTTCTCAGACATCCCACCTGAAAATGAGCCGTTCGACCACAAGTCCAAAGTGCGTTTATAATGATCCTTCTGAGTTCTAAAATGTGCTTTGTTTCTGATGTAACTCCACAGACATTTTTGTTGAATGCGAGTGAGATGTGAAATGACGTGGAAAAGAACAACAGAGCAGACAGAATGACCTAAAAAACCGTGTCGAACGCCCAGCTCCCACTCACTCATGCCCGATCAGTGCACCTGCTGCCGCCCTCTACTCTCCCACAACCCTCTCAAGCAGATTTATTAGAGCATGACATGATGCATACTGGATTGTTTTGCTGATGAAACGTTATAGATCCCTTAGGTCATGTAACCTTTTAAAAAGGTTTCTTTTTTAGTGTACTCATACTTTTTTTTTTAATCAAAAAGAGGCACAGCCGTTTTATCTGATGTAAATGTTTAGAAAAATAGGGTAACGATAAGATCAGATAAGGACACCTGTGCAAGATTGTTATTTGCACAATGTGGTCATATGCAAATGAGCATTTTGTGAAGCAGGCTGTTTTGTTACGTTAGGGATTTCCATAAGATAGTAATGCGAGTTGGATAGTAGCTTGTTTATTTTTCGCACAGTAGCTGCGTATGAGTTATATATTCAAATCTGAACTGTATAATTATTTACTGTTTAATATGTTACAAAGCAGAGCACAGAGCACGTTTGTGTTGCTTTTCCACTGTTTTTCTACTTGCGCTAGATCAGGGGTGCCCAAACTCGGTCCTGGAGGGCCGGTGTCCTGCAGTGGACGTGTTTGACCATTGCAATCATGCTTGGCATCTTTCGCAGTGTCTCGCACATGACACAGCTTTCAAAACTCAAAAGTAACATTTAAAAAAAATGCTCCTCAAGACTTTCATAAGATCCTAAGTCTCATTGCACTGTTTCAATGGCCCCAATTAAGCCATCTGGTGGTTGATTTCACAGAAATGTGTAAACACGTCGGCAATATCAAAACAAGTGCATACCCAACAGTCGATTTCATTGATCAACTGTGTCACCTGTCAAGAAATGTTCAGACTATAGATTAGGTTCAGAGTCCAGAAAGATTATTGCTGGATCTGATCTGTCTTATTTTTATGCAAGATATTTAGCATTTCCATTTGAAAATGCTTGTGGTAATTTTACACTTCAGATTTAAGCCTAACACTATTTTTGAGTCAAGCTTTGAGGTGAAGGTAATGGACTAGTGATGGGTGTAGAGATTATATATCACATTAGGAGCAAAACCTGATTTTCTGGTGTCAAATTTTTAAATAGAGATTGCAATATGGTGCTGTTGATTTTCCACATTGATTTTACATTCCATGATGTAACACAGTGAATAACAGATTCCAGACAATGTGATCGTGTTGATGTGTTTACAGGACTTGCGGTATGCGGCCTATCCACTCTCACGCTGGCTGAGTGCTGAAAACTTAATGTGGGTCACTCTGCGGCTCCCACTACAGCTCCTGCCATGGGGAATACCGCCACCAAGTTTCGTAAAGCACTTATCAGTGGAGACGAATTCCTGGCTTGCCAGCTTTATGAGAGCAACCCCCAATTTAAAGAGGCTCTGGAGCCCAACGCATCTTATGGGGAGCCCTATCAACACAACACACCCCTGCATTACGCCTCACGCCATGCCATGACACGCCTCATCAGGTAGGAACCTGTGAATGATTGGGCACCGAAATACAAGTATTAGCCTCTACTGGTCGTGATGTGGTTGTTCACCTTAAATTTCAGTGCCAGAGTGAATTTGACACCATTTAAAGCAAAACAAAGAATTATTATAATCAAAATTGTTATGACTAGTTATGAAATTATAATTTGTAAGGTACTAGTAGACATTACACAGTGGTTCAAAAGTTTGTATCAGTAGTATTTCGTTTTAAAGAAATTAATCATTTCATTCAGCAAGGATAATAAATTGATTAAAAATGGCAGTAAAAATATAACAGGTTTGCTGTATTTTTTTGAGACATTTTTAAAAAACATAAATAAAACGTACTGACCCCAAACTTTTTAACAGTACCGTATGTGTCATGGCAAAACATATGAACACATTTAATTTTAATATGTATCCTAACAATGAAAGGTAAGATTGTTAGACTTTTATTGATGTAATGGGAAGACCCAAACAGCACAGCAACATTTGTAGAGGTTTGTTGCTTCAGGGAGAACAAAAAAACACTGAATAACCTTCCCATGTTAAATATCGCATGCGATTTATCGTGCAGCCCTACCTTTGACCATGATTTCTAGCCAACATTGCAGCTTATTCTGGTGTAATGGACAGAAAAAGAGCATCTGATTGACATTTAAAAGTGACCTACATGTAAAGTGTTCTACTGTTCTGTTTATATGCAGATTTACAGACCATACCACAAAAAAATAATCTTTTACTGAAAGTTTGTACTGCACAGAGGGTTGTTTCCAGGCAGACTTTACCTCGAAGTTGCTTAAAACCAGCCAGTCAAATTAAAGCTTGCAAGGTCAAAAATTCTATTCTACATGTGTCCTAGTTGAAAACAAAGATGTTGACAAAACTACAAACATCCTAGCTAGAACCACCACCCAAACTGTAACGGCCAGTTTGAAGTGGTTATGTATTTAAAAGCTAATACCAGAGTTCTGTATTTTGTAACTGGACTTCTGATTCACTTTGAGGCTGCTACTGATTCTTGGAAAAACAGCCTGCCAGTCTAGACTACATCCAGAATTTTTGAGGCCAAATGCCACATACTCTGGCATTTGGCCTTAAGTATGTGTACCCTTTGTGTGGTCTTGTTTTTATAATGATCACACTTTAATTAGCTAGCATACAGCAGAACAAAGCACAAGATGTCTTTCACCTGTTTGTCTAGACATTATCCTTGGATGTTGGTGTCATTCCACCTCAAATGCTTGGCTTTGCATTTCATGATGTCGTTACAGCATTATTGCACTAATGTTCTATTGTTACATCTCGGTAGATTTAACAGTCGCGTAGTTAACATTTAGTGTCCGTGTCAATTTCGTGGTAGTTCAACCAGACTTTCTGGCCTCCCAGGTGCAGTTTCAGTTGGAGAGCAGGGTTAGGGGAATGCTGGGAGTTAGAGCTGTTGTTTTCAGTTGCATCAACTAATAAACTTGCCAGATTCACATCACAGACTTCCCAGAACAGCTCGCTGAGTCATTTCCACTCAAAGGCATTAAAGCCTGCTGAATGCAATCACTAAATTAACTCTTAAAGCTTACAAGGTTGTACATTCCTCCGAGTCCATTCTATGGTGTATTTGAAACCTGTTATCAATTACTTTTAAGCTCCCGCAATTAATCGCCTGAAATTATATTAGTCTTCCTAATTACCTCCAGGCAGGGAGACACTGAGGGCTCCAGCTGTATTGAACAGTGTCGTCATGACATTTTCATTGTTAAAGGGGTGGTTGATTGCGATTTCACTTTTTTAACGTTAGTTAGTGTGTGAAATTGCTGTTTGAGCATAAACAATATCTGAAAAGTTACCAAGCTGAAAGTTCAATGCAAATGGAGATATCATCTTTTAAAATTCTGGCGGTTTAATGCCTACAAAAACGTCTGGTAGGGACTACAAAGAGTTACTTCCCAGGTTCGTGACATCACAAACCCAGATAAACCCCACCCTCGGGAAAAGGCAGCAAAGGGGGCGAGGCCATGCTGCGCTGCTTTAGAGAAGAGGAAGAGAAAACTAGGGGTGCACATAAAACTATTCATATATGAATCGCGATTAGACGCACACTAGAGGCGGTTTAGCCAATCACAACACACTGGGCTAGCTAACCAATCAGAGCCCATCGCCTATTTCTGAGGGCGGGGCTTCATAAAAACAGGAAAAGATCAGCCCTTTTCTCAGAGAAGGGACAGAGCGGTGTGGAATAAAGGTAAATTATGTGAAAAATAATGCGTTTTTTTTTTTAAACAAAGCATTAACACATGTTAGACTGCACCCCATAAACACAATCAAGCCTAGAAAAGAACCAGTGAACCACCCCTTTAATATTGTTATGATCCTAATGCACTCTCATATGTTATGAAATTTTGAGATGGTAGATTCCGCCACTAGCTCTCCTTTATTGCTTGAAGCAATATCTTTGAGAAGAAGACGAAGGTCATCTTTATATACTGCCTGTGGTGTTTTATAGAGGCTTATAAAATCAATATATAAGACATTTCTGGTCTTGGATGCTGATTGGGCAATAAAGCATGGCGTAATCCACGAAGTGTTAACAGTTATGGTGCAAAACTCCTATTCATTGCTTGGCACCCTTAAAGGGGTCCTATTATGCTCTTTTACAAAGTCTTGATTTTGTTTCGGGGGTGTACTAGAACAGGCTCTCATACTAGGTTGTTCGAAAAACACATTATTTTTCACATATTTTACATTATTACAACACCTCTCTCCCCAGTCTGGCATGAACGGCTCGAATAGTTCCTGTATCAAATGAAGGCCCGCCTTCTGAAATACGAAATTTTGAAGTGCACTTTGAGCTTTGGAACTTTGCAGATCTTTTTTATGCTCAAACGGCAACATTACACTAACTAAAGTTGAAAAAGTGAAAAAGCATAATAGGACCCCTTTAAGGCTCTGAGCATGCAAAATCAACCAGTGTTGATAACAGGATGTCATTCTATTCAACTCATTGTTCAACGCAGAAATAAGCTATTTCCTGTGAATGTACTTCTGATTCCTTTGCTATTATAGGTAAATAAATAGAAAAATAACAGTGCAGTAAACAGTAAAATGTTGTTTTTGTTTTTCATCCGTATTTTTGCTACAAACCAGTGTGTTTATGATTATAAATTAAATAAAAATAATACAGTTATAATAATAAATTAAAATAGTATGATAACAAATACCTGTTTGCAATATCAAGCTGCATATTGGACAGTTTTTGTACAGCTAAAATAACTGGAAGCCTCACACATTCAAGTTACAATTGTATGTGCTTGCCTTACTTAGTTTTTCAGGCCTTAAAAAGTCATGAGATCTAATAAAATCTTAATCCCTGAAATGGTCTATAGTTCATATAAATTTTTCTAATTATGATCATCTAATTTCAGGAGATACTACTTTTGTGTAGCTTGTATAAGCTATAGTGATGCCTGATTTTTAAATGATTTGTTCTTTTTAGTCTATTGTTTTCAGTGAACAAGATGAAGCTGTATACAGATCAGTCTAAATCAGTGTTTCTCAACCCTGGTCCTGGGCACCCCCCAACACTGCTCATTTTGTATGTCTCCCTTGTCTGACACACCCATTTCAGGTCCTGGAGTTTCTTCTAATGAGCTAATGAGTTGAATCAGGTGTGTTTGATTAGGGAGACACACAAAATGTGCAGTGCTGGGGGGCGCCCAGGACCAGGGTTGAGAATCACTGGTCTAAATGATTCATTAAAGAATCAAGTCTGAATCAAAATGATTTGCACAAAATGGATATGTACAAAAACTACACTGTTAAGCTACATTTTTTTTTGTTTTTTTGCATTTACTGTTTGTGTTTTGCTGTTGTAATTTGTATTCTTAAATGTAATTCTGATTTACAGTCGAGTTCCTTTCCTGCAGGTCTTTCCTTTTCTCCAAAGATGGCAACCCCAACAAGTGCAACGTTCACAATGAGACTGCGTTGCACCTGCTGTGCATGGGCCCGCAGATCCTGCTGAGTGAGGGGGCGCTGCAGCCGCGGATCAGCCGCCCCCAGGAGGATGAACAGAAGCGGGCTGAGTGCCTCCAGATGATCCTGCAGTGGACCGGAGCCAAGCTGGACCAGAGCGAGTATGAGAGAGCCAACGTCAATGCCACAGACAACAAAAAGAGCACCTGCCTGCACTACGCGGCAGCGGCTGGCATGAAGAACTGTGTTGAGGTAACAAGATTGTTTTTTTTCTTATGTAGTTCAGGCCTTGAGTATGTATTTTTTGTATTTTCAATTGATTTAATGCAAAGCCAGTGAAACCCTTACTTTTCTGGTTTCACTGTAGGACTCTAGGATTGATTACTCAGTGAAGCCACTAACTAAGGGTTAGTCTTGTGTTTTACAGTTGTTAGTGAAGAACAATGCAGATTTGTTCGTGGAGAACGAGGACAGGGAGACGCCGTGTGACTGTGCGGAGAAACAGCATCACAAGGAGCTGGCGCTCAGTCTGGAGTCTCAGATGGTTTTCTCTCAGGATGCTGGAGCTCAGGAGATAGAAGCAGAGTATGCCGCCCTTGACCGACGAGAGGTATGGCTGTGTTAAAAACTGTTTTCTGAATTTAGATGTTTTAGCATTTATTTTTGATACATTAGTAAGTTTAGGATCAATACAATTATTTATATGTATATATATATATATATATACATATAT